ATAAGCCTTAAGCAGCGAAAGGAAGAAATAGCATATTAAAACTTCCGCAAACTAAACACGGTCTATTAGTTCTTTTCAAAGAAAATTGAGAAAAAAACTACCACTGAAAAATAAAATAATAAAAATGATCCTACCGAGTACTTTGCTGCCCAATATTATATCTAATACATCCTCATTTATAAAATTCTACAAAATGTGGGGCTTATATTTTTGTTCCATTACATTTGTTTAAATTGACAATTTAGAAAACACTTTGCCGTTACATTTTTACTTTTCTACATCTTTACCAATAATATTTTTTATGATTATAAACAAATATTTAATTGGCCTAATTGATATCATAAAAAATGAATATAAAATAGTACCTGTACTCCGCAATGGAGCACAAAAACAAAGTCACAGATTGAAAAATAAAACTTTCTTGCGATGTTTGTATTTTTTATTGTATTGTTGATTAAACAAAACACCATTAATTTGGAAAAGCAAAAGTCTGGGAGGGGGTTAGGGTTATAAACAGGGGATAGCTAATTGCTTTTCTCTACCTGAAGGAAATTTACTGGTGCCAGATCAACGCTTGTTTTCTTCGGATTTCTTTACTGCATCATATTTTAAATCTTAATAAATTTTATCCAGAATATTAAGCCCTGTCAACGGGAACAAGTTCTCCCGTAAATTTGTAAAAACTTTTTATTTTGAGATTTCTCCGTGTGGTCTGTCCTGTGACGAATCATGAAAAATGGGCTTTTTTTCAAAACACCAGGTATATGACCTCTGCTGTTGTGAACCATCGTAAAAAAAGAAAAACAGAAAATACATTTCGAGAGGTATACACAGCATAATGATCTAATGCTCCTCCATAAAGGCTGTGGTTTGATCGGTAAAGATAATTTTGGTCTGCTATTTCTCGTTAGGTTCTTTGCAGTGGCTATCACGCCATCTTCAGTGTTATGTCTAAGTGATTTCAGTAAATCAAGTAATGAAGTAAGTTTTGTTATTGTCTTATTCGGTTTTTCTCATATCCGTTTCACTCAGTGTAGAATTTTGAATGGGAAAATACAGTAAGCTGTACTGAAATGTATGAGTTTGTTTAGTGTATTAGGTTAGTTCTTTTCCAAGCTTTCGTTTGGACGTTGTGTTTTGAAAGTTGATGTTAGTTTTTCAGAGGTGAATGATACATTTTGATTTCCGCCATAGTCCCTGAAGCTGTAAGCTGAAGCTTATACGTTTTGAGTATCTATATTATATTTTTAGTTCTATCTCTTCAATGTACATCTTTCCGCAGTCCCATGGGCATGTAATTTTTTCCAAGTGGGTTAGTTTTGTCAATGTATAGCCTTCGAAGTTTTTTGATTGGGTTCGAGCTTTTTACTGCTGTATTAGTTCCTAAATTGTAAAAACCCAAAAAAACATTTGGAAGACGCACAGTGAAAGATGAAGCCGAATACAACCTGCTCAGTTACATAATTACAGGAGAAACGGCAACTTGCACTGGACCCTGTTTATTTTTTTCGTTGAAAACTCCAAGCTTTCAAAAACATCTCGCACTTTTAGAGACTTGGTGTGAAAAGAAAATAATAAAACCTAACCGACAAAACTCTACCTATGACATCTTCATTCTCTGCAAAATTAACCCTCACTGAAATTAATATGAATTATAGTAATTGCCAATTCGGAAATTTATATAAATTTGAGAGACAATTCACAATTAACTCTGTAACACCAAATGTTAACTTATTGCCATCAAGATTACAGATTACAGTATTATATAAATTCTGAGACCTTATAAATGGCAGCGATATTTCATATAGAAGGTAAACGTCGAAATTAGCAAATTTATTCCATTACGATGACGATAGATATGCAAGCACATAGCGAGCAGGGAACTAATTGCGGTCCTTTGTCCATCAAAGTAATGTGTTCGTAATTTGATCTTCCTTTCTCCTCTGTCCTGACAGTCCGTCTGTCTTGAGTAAATAATTAATTTCCAGGACGAAAACATAGTATGTGGCGACAAAGAGGTTACCCAGTACGTAAGAGAACAACGAACAGGTGGCAATTACAAGCCACAACGAAGCAGTGCAATATTCACAGACGCCAGGGGACCCGTCTGCGTGAAATTTTCACCGTTCTTAATTAAGAGAAAGTTGGCTTAAACTCTTGCCGACACGTAACTCCATTATTACGGTCCAAGATGCAAAACATGTTTTACAGTCGGGGGCGAAGACGTATCAATATATAACAATTGCCTATCTAACACTTCTTCAAGGCAATCGGTCATTGATCAATTATGTTTAAAAAAAACTACAATAAAAGTTGAAATTAAAATTTAGCTTTAATTTTGTGGTACATCAGAATTATTTTTACACAGCATATAGATTCACCATTAAATTTCCTTTATATTATTTTCACCTGCAATTATTTTCAATTAAGAAGCTTAATAAATACTAAATAAATTTTAAAAATAGCATAAAATTTGGTTTTCGAGAAATAATTTTTAATTAGGTATGCCCTTATGTTTAATAGTACAGATTTTTAATCTTCAAGAAAGTATTTGATATACTTTTAAACGGTAATATCCAGAACTCCCCCTGATTCCAGACTCCTCCTCCTTACTAACTGCCAATCATTTTTCCGTTGCACTCTAAACAGTGATGAGTATTTACATTTTCTGAATAATGATTTGCGACTCTTATTTAAAAAATGAATATATAAACAGCTCAAAAATAAATAGGGAAAATTGTAATTTATTCTTGTTGTATTAATTTTAATTAAATAAAACATATATTCTTGTTAGTTGGATAAAACAAAATAGAATATTTAAACGAAAAACAAACAAATGTTAATCTATATAAGGATTTCCTTAAGAATAGTAATTATGAATATTGTTCAGTTTGTAAACAAACAGATTTTCTCATCTTTTCTCTACTTTAATCCAGTTGAATTCTCTTTTACTTTGGAAAGACATCATCACCAACCAGATATTGGCAATTTTATTGTGAGAATGAGTTATCGAGGTCACCGGCATGTGGATATCGCGTTTCTCAGAACGTGGTCTCCCGTGCTTTAGCCCAACTCCGAGACACTGAAGGAGCCAATAGAAGGCCTGGCAGTGGACTCAGGGCATTGCGACGCTAAGGGAGGACAGAAATATTGTCATTGCTGTAAGACGGAACTCTTTGCATAGTGCTTGCCAGATCTAAAATGAAGTACAAGGTGTTTTGGCAAAGCCTTTATCAACAGAAACGATTCGTAATCCCTTATGGGAAGTTGGCCATACATCCTATGCCAGTTTGAGACCATCTGGGGCAACGGCCTGCCACCAGGAACTCAATAGAAGATGGTGCAGCGAGCGCCTAGAAGAGAACAAATTAAAATGCCGTTTACTGATGAAACGCCTTTCTATCAGTATAGAGAATACCGAGAATAGAGGGTGCTTACAATGCTTCAGTTCAAGCTCTCGTCAGTTCAGTTTGGAGGAGGCGGTGTAATTATCTGGGCTGGGATTTATACTGGAGGACGTACTGAACTCCGTACTGTTGAAGGCAACTCCACCGCAGTCCGTTATGTCCAAGAAATTATCGAGGAATACATCCCTCAAACCAGGGATACCATTGGCAAGGATTTTGGATTTGTGGATAACAATGCCAGATCTCAAAAAAGGATAGTTGGTCACCAGTAGAAAACCTGGACTTTCCCATCTATCCCTTCCCCCATTGCTTCTAGGTCTCAATTTCAGTGCAGCGTTGCAATAGCTATGGAGTGAAATTACTGACAATCTTGTTCACAATATACCTAAAATTTGAACACAGGTTTTAGCTAACAGAAGACATTATACACGGTATTGATTGTTTAAAAAAATTATTGTGTCCAATGAACAACATTATAGAATTAAAACCTTTTATTTTGTTAGTTTTCAGAATCCCTTAAATAAATTTTTCTTCAGTAAAAAACATAATTTCTAATAAATTTTAATGCAATTTATACTTCATTTCTACATCATTTTGAGCAAAAACAATATTGTCTTGTCTCATGGTTTAAATTAAAAAATATACAAAACATTTAGAACAAATTGGAGGGTGGAAAGAAATTAAACTCACTCTGCTTATATTAAAAATAAATAAATAAATAAAGGGATGTAGGATGAGGGAGAAGTATAGAGTAGTTGAAAATACTTGCAACACAAAAAAAGACGTTTTATTATTTACATAAATAATAAAATATAATAATGAAAATAATAATAATGTGCAACGAGGACTACATGATAATAAGACGACACAAGTCACGGCACTGCTCATTCAATACATAAAAATTACCTCCTCGCTCTATCTGTCAGCTGTTCTTCTAGTTGGCTTGGCCCGCTGGGGACTATATCAAGGGAGTGACGCGTCCATCCTACATATATATATTTTTTAAATATAATTTCGTATTTCTACTTTGGCAACAAAAGAAAACAATAACCAAAATTTTTAACAACCACAAGGGACCGCGATTTTTTCAAAGAATGATCTATAAAAAAGCCATACTTTCCAGGTAATCGAACACAGAACGGTTGGGGTTGCAAATACTCGTTGGAAGTTCTAAGTACTGTCCTATTCGTATTTGCAACATAACAACCGCTCGGTGTTACCATTGTTTTTTCATAGATCATAACTCAAATCAGAACTTCCGATTTTCCGAAATTTCGGCCCGTGTATATTTTGCCTTTTGTATATTTGGCCTTTTATTGTATTGTTTAGTTGCTATGAAGCCACTCAAGTGCATTGATTTTATGTTTCAAGTCACTGGCTCTACTGGTCTGTTGTCTGTTTCCCAATTGCTTGCCACTTTTTTACAATTAAGTTGGCAACCAAATCAAAAATAAATATATAACCCTAATTTAATGAAAACATATTTTTTCATAAAACGGATATTTAACATATTTAGAATATAAGAACTTTACAACAACAAACTATTACTTTACAACAAAAATTGAATTTTATATGATTTTTTTATTGTTGCAGATCGTAGGGTGCGGGTGGAAGGTGAATCAAAATGGACTGTTATTAGTATGATGTATTTGGTGTTGTGGTGCGTTTTGGCGACATGGTGTTCAAGAGCGTTCGCTGCCGAAAATTGCGGAGGCCATTTGACTGCTGAGAGAGGTGTGATTCAGACGCCCGATTTCCCCCGTCCGTTCCGTGTTCCGATCGCCTGCCGATGGGTGATCGACTCATCTCTTCAGCCTCGGCCGTCGTCCATCGTGGTCTATCTGACACAACTGTTTGTCACGACGGGCATCTCGTTCACGGAGTACGCTTATTACGAGGCGGACTCAACGTTCCAGCTGGAGCCTAAGGTGCTGATGACGGTAAACGACGAGAATGCGGCCCTTGTCTCGACCGTCTCCACCAGCAGGAACTTCCTCGTCATCGAGTTCGCGATGGACAGGCTCGAAGGAAATCACCTGAGGGCTTTGGACGGCCTCCTCGACGTGTATGGTCTCAACATCACGTACAACATGCACGTCGGTTCGGGAAAGATACCAGATTACTCTTGCACTGCGGCCAAATGTTCTCTTTTAGGCCACTGTTACGCTGCCATCGATTTTTCGTAAGTACACGATAATATAATTTTGTTTTGCTGTTAGAGGTCTGAGTGATGATGGTCATGTAGTTCGATGATTCTCCATCATTTCGGTCTATCAGATTCCTTTCACCAGGTAACCATCTTTCATGTTACTTTTGTGACGTTGCCTCACCCTGCTTAAATCCCTGAATAACAAAGAAACCGAAATGCAAAAACGTTTCTGACAGACAAAAACAGCAAGGAAATCAAAAGCAGCATTTATAGGCCATCTTTATTAATGTTTCAAGAATATGCTCTACCAGTATAGAATGACACACTAAAAGATCGAGATTTGTTTAAAAAAATTATTATTACAAAATTGTCCCGTTGGGATTTAAATAACATCAATTATTTTTATTTGTAAACAAATCAATCATTAATCCACAGACCACCTGCACTGCAAAAGGCAATAAGGCCGAAGAGCAGAGGACGGATAAGCCGAAAATTGTCGGAAACGATATAAAGTTTCGTTAGATTCCGATATTCAATTAGTTTGAAAAATCACTCTTCCTTTACTTCCCAAACGAACACTGACACAGGTTGAGTGGGTAACCAGCTTTGTCGGGGGGCCTGTGAGTTGTTAGACATTGGTCCGCGGGTGGATCGACCCTGTTCATCCTATTGCACGTAGTACTGTTTAATCAGAGAGTGTTATCAACAAGGCCAGCATGGAAAATACTCAAATCTGTCTGGTTTAACAAGTACAGAGACAATGAGGTAACTCTTCTGGAATTTATATTTACAAATGAATTTCAGGTAAAGAAAATTTTATGACGAGGTCTCTAATTTCCGAATCCTAATTACAATTATTTATTTTTTATTTTTTTATTTATTTATTTTATTTTATTTATTTTTGACAAGGGTTCTTCCAGAGGTCATATAAACCCTCAGGGTGCCAGTGTTTTTGAACAAAAAGCCTAATTGTAAGTATATCGTGATCAAATGCAGGGCCGCCGGATTAGAACACGGGACCTTTACCTCACAGTGATTAACGCCGTGTCTACGCCCTAAGTGTTGCGGCCAACGACGCCCGAACAATTATAAACAATTAATATGATTTAATAGATATTCAAATTTGGATTTAAAAAGTAATTAAATTATGTAATTATATACCAAATTAAATTTTGTTACTTAAATATATTTATCCCTGAGGCAAGTAATATTTTACTTGTTAGGAAACAGCACTAGCAGTAACATAATACAAATTATCCTTTCAAATAAAAAAAATAAAAGATGGTGACATATGTATATATAAAATTAACACGTAACGCTCACCTTTCTACATAAAAGCGTGGGCTTTTTATTAATACAATTTATAAACTTATTAGACTGGTAACAATTGCCACGACAACTTTAGACACGTTTTGAATTTAAACAGCACAAGGCAGAACATCCCTTATAATTTGTTTTCCCGGCCAGCTCCTCGGTTCCAACTCTTAACATTCGGGCAGAAAGTAAATTAGAGCCAACGCGACAGGAAAGTTTGCAATGGTAGAAAGCGAAGAATCGCGGACCAAAGGTAAACTAATGAACCGAAACTGCTTGGTCCCTTGCCCGTCAAGGCTAGCTATTATCGTTTACCCTCAGACCTATTCTATGTGGAAAAGTCTTCTCCGCTCTAATTTCCGTTTGAACGTACGCTCACGCGGTTTTAGGTTTTGTTTCTGACTTCTCCATCAAATGTCTAAGTTAATAACTCGTTATATAACTTTTGTTTGATTAAGATCTCACTTTTAAAAGTTTGTTTGCTCACAATTGAACTAGGTCATAGAATCTACTTAAAACATTCTCAATATAAAAAAAAAACATATATGCTATAGAACCATTAATTTACAAAATTACTAACGTAATACTACGTCACACCCCGCAAATTTCAAATGCTTACTTCCAAACTCGTTTAAAATAGTTGTACTTGTGCAGAACTATTCTACATAATCCAGTTTTTTTTACCTACCTAATCTGCTTATTATTATATTTGTTACTTCCTTTTGGCAAATTGGAGAATCAGAGTGGCTTATTTTGCTTGAGTCAAAAAGATTTTTTTTTTATGTGCTAAATCTTGAAAATAATTTGTGCTCTAATTTATCATAGTGTGCGAATAACAACAAGCAATTGTTTTAAGTTTTTAGGTTCGCGTTATTTTGCATATTGTAAATATTTTTTCCATGAGATTTCCATGTGAGGTCTGTAATTTTGTTATTAACCTAACAAATATGTTTCTGCCTTGTTATATTCGTTAAAACAAATAACATCATGCAAACTAAGCAAAAAATATTTCCGGATTGATGAATAATGTTAAACAATAATTTGATTTATTTCATGAAAGTACCAATCTATTAAAAAATTTAACTAAATTCCCCCTCTCTCTCTCTCTCTCTCTCTCTCTCTCTCTCTCTCTCTTTCTCTCTCTCCTTTCACTCTCTTTACCACTTTCTCACTCTACGTTCTCTTTCTCTCTCTCACTCACTCATCTCCTGCCTCTCACTCTATATCACCTTTTTCTTATTCTCCTCTCACTGACTCGTTTCTTGTTATTCCCTCTCTGTCACCTTTTTCTCGTTCTCCTCTCGCTCACACGTTTCTCGCTTTTCACTCTCTGTTACCTTATTCTCTTTCTCTCTCTTACTCACTCATTTCATGCCTATCTCTCCTCTCTCTCTCTCTCTCTCACTCTCTTTCACTATCTATCGACCTCCGTATATCTATCTTTGTATCTATCTCTCTATGTGTTTCTTTCCCTCACTATTCGGCCATCTTTCAAGCATCAACTATATACTATGGCAAACATTGGGATATTTTTCGTCTTAAAAGTGGAATTCACAAGGCTGCTTAGAGCATCCCATTCTAACGTTTTCATATTTTCACTTACGAAACTAATAATTCACTTAAAAGTTTGGTTAAGATGTCTTTTTTTCTCAAAAGGAATCGATAATCATTTTAATTTAAGGATGAAAAACCTTTAAGGTTTTGGTTGGGATAAAAAAGTCAGTGTCACGAGCGGGATTCGAATCAACGACTTTCGGCTAAATACGCCGCTTCTGTACCACTAACTTCCTATCTCAACCTCACCTCTCGAATTTTCCCCCTTTTTGCCATTTTTCAAATGACTTTATCTCAACAAAAACCTAAATTAAAGATTAATTAACTGAAAAAAGTTAATTAGTCATTCGGACTATGAACTGTAATGCTGTAATGGATTTAAGGATGAAAGTTATGTTTAACAAATCATGCAGTTCAAAGGGACCTTAAAGGGAAAACATCTTGAATGTTTATATGTATTTATATGTCTGTTGGATGAAATGGTGATTTTTCAAAAATGTATTGTACAAACTTTTAGAAAGATTTTTACTTTTTCTCATTGTCTATAAATGACTAAACTAGACTTTGGCATACAAATAACATTAATCGTAATTTCATGTGCATTTGTGTAATAGGTTGAATACTTTTGTCAATAACTTTTCGTTTTGATATATTTAGAGTACTTTTTTATAAAGCTAACTTTTGGCCTGTTTAGGAGTTTCTGGTGTTCCTGTTTCCCTGGGTTTTCCGGCCCGAACTGCAGAGAAGGACCCCTCTGTCTGCCGGACACAAACATCTGCCAAAATAATGCCTCATGCCGGTAAGTTTTTTGCTCAATACAATCATAAAAGGTGTGTATGTTTTTCTATTTTTATACATATACATATATCTGTAAAGTTGAAAGACTTTATTTTATTGCTCGTTTCTCTGAGTAATGACGTTCAGAAGCCGTATGTTCAGATCTCGGTGTCGTAGTCGTTTTTCAATAAATAAAACTCGTGTTCAGGTTTAACTTGTAAACATAAAACGTATTTTTCTTGTATGGATAGATGGATAAGATTAAATTATGGATTTAATGAGCAAAATGAAGTACATCTTAACTCAAACTCTCCGTGACTATCTCATTTGTCGCCAAAAATCGAATAGATTAAACGAGATTTGAAAAATCGCAAAAAAGGAGGGAAAATTCAAAAGGTGGGTTGAGATGGGAGGTTGGTGTCCGAGTGGAGGGAAGTCACGATAGCTCAAGTGGTTGCGCAGAGGCGTATTTAGCCGAATGTTGGGGGTTCGAATCCATCTCGTGACACTGGCTTTTTTATCTCAACCAATACCTTACTTTAGGATTAATTAATTGAAAAGAATTTATTTGGTCAATCCGGTTGAACTGATTGAAACGATTGAACACGAAACCTAATAGACTTTAAAATATTATTTAAAATGTGCTATCGTCATTTTGATCAATTACTGTACATAATATCATTCAGTTTTTGGTATATATTGTTTAATATATTAATTTTTTTATGAAATCAAGAAATATTTAATTTTTCATCATTTTAGTGATTGTTGAGATGTATCAGTTACTAAAACCGTATGTATTACTGTTTAAATAAAATTTATTTTAGTTTTACATATTGGAGATTTTATTATGATTATAAATAATCGTAGTGATCAATGCTACACTCTGTAATAATGGATTGTACATTCTTTGCATAAAACCATGTGCCCCTGATAATTCTGGCTGTGGGATATTAATCCCAATATTAATAGTTGCTCCTTAATTATCGTGGGCAAGGTCGCTCTCGAGAAAATTCTCACCAACCCCTTTTGCTAAGACAAGCTATTCGTCCCATTAAAATATTCTTGGGATTAAATGAAAATCCTGACAAATAAGTGGCTCTTAGCCTTCGTCAATCACGACGTAGGAGGCATACGCCAATTTTTAGAAATGTCGAGGTTTTATTAATAGTTTTGATGTAATGTTGAATCTTGCAAAATGTGAATAAATGATAGTAGGAAATACACATTTTTGAAATCTTCTACAAAAACCCTTTCTTATTTTGGTTTAAAAAACTTACTTCACCTTCAATTCCGCGCAGAGAAAGCTCAGATAATTAAATTTAAATTGATAATTTAAAAAGAACTATATCCGATAAAAATCGTGGCGTTAGAGTTTTGTCTCGTTGTCATTGCAATCTAAAGCTTTTTGCATTTAAAATGAGGTCCCACATTTATTTACTAAGCAAGCCGCTTTTCTCTGACAGGTGCTTTTAGTCGCTGGATTTGGGAATAGCATATGATAAAATCGATCGTTTCCTTCCCACAGGAACAACCTGATTTATGGAATCCATTTTCAACGCCTGATAATATTCGTTTTTGCTTTATGAACGAAATTAGGAATGACAATTGGTGAATTGGGATTTTATTAACCGTCGCAGCTCTATTAAAAATAATAGATTTTATCCCCCACTTAACTTTATGCTGGTGTATTAGTTTATTTAATGACTAGCATTATATGTTTATTAAAAATCAGAAAAATATCCTCTTTTGGTAATGTTATGTTTAGAATAAAAATTTGAGTAATTGTTGTTTAATGTTTCTTTTGTAAATTAAAAAGAATTACTTTGTTCTCCGATACGTTGCGGTTTTTATTTTTTGTAATTTTAGGACCTTTACGTTACGTTCAAAATATGATCTGTTTACTGTGTAATAATATGAAATATTTTATTTAATGTATTAATGGGTCCTTGAAATGTCTCATTGTAAATAAAGTGTATTTGGGAACGAAAATAATAAAACGAACATTTCAGGAAATGTGACAAAAACTACATCGTTGATTTCTTTGTACTCGATATCTATTCTATTATTTATAATCCTTTTTTACAAGTTCCTTTTTAACTTCTAAATAGTGTTTTTGCCATATTCTATCTTAATAAAAATTTAAACTAATTGCTTTCTTTCGTAATCTATGAATGCTCACAAATATACCTGGTTTTATCAGAATTTTTATAATTATTTGTTTACTTTTAGACTTTATTTCAATAACATTTCTTGTTTTTAGGTTTATTTTCCTTTACATACATGTTCATTTAAAAAAACATTTTTGCAACATCAAAAATTAATCTATAGTGTTTATTTGGAACGAGACAGCCTGAACAAAACTTGATAATAAACGTGTTAAATAATAATTACTTAAAAACTTGTATTACTATTTAAGGCAGGAACGTATTTTTACTTGTACATTTAAAAATAAATATAATCCATTTTATTTCGCAGTCCGATTGACCAAATAACTTCTTTCAATTAATAATTCTCTTAATTAAAAAGTTAGTGTGACGAGCGGGACTCGAACCGACGACCTTCGGCTAAATACGCCGCTCCTCAACCACTTGATCTATTGTCACGATAGCTCAAGTGGTAGAGCAGCGGCCTATTTAGCCGAAGGTCGTGGGTTCGAATCCCGCTCATCACACTAACTTTTTCATTTTAACCTATAATTTACATAAAGATTAATTAATTGAAATAAATATAATACTACAAATTCAAGAAAGATTTAGTCAAGCTGGTAATCGGTTAAACTGTAAGATGTGAGTGGGACATTTCGCAGGTATTAATTATTGATCATTATTAGAATCAGATTTTTCCGTACCAAAATGTAGCAAAAGATTCCCACTTTTGAATAAATAAAAACAATTTCATAACACCTTTGCTTTTTAGGTAAAGACCTTCTTTATTTGTCTGTAATCTACTTATGTTGAGCGTTTGTTAACTGAAGTAGTAATTTCTTTTTGGTTAATTTAAAAGTTATAACATATTTTTTAAATTTTTTATGTAGGGAAATTTTAAAAATATCATGACCAATTATTTATAACGTTTATTCATTGAAATAGTTGTCCGTCCGTTTATTTGCGTTATTTAGTTGAGTTCTTTTATAAAACATGAAATATCACTTTATTTTAAATTAAGGAAAATTTTTCCAAGGTTTGTGAAAAATCGTCCACGGTAACAAGATGAGTGAACGAATAAATAAACGGCGCCATTTTTCACTGGTTTTCTTCAATAACAGCTTTTTTTATGAAAAACGACGGGATTTACTTAGTCACTCTCCGAAAAATTTTATTTAAATAATTTACTGCAAACCATACAAAATACCGCTTCAAAATAATATCTGGTATAACATTTGGGGTTTTAGTCTATTTTTGATATGGGACTTTGTTAAACAGTTAAGGGCACTTGTACTAACATATTGTCACCGCATTCACACAGGTTAATTTTTGCTACGTTTATTTTTTCCTCAGAAAAATCAATGTTCAGGTGTTCCACTTCCAATTCACTGTTAATAGCAAAAGCTGGAATTGCCGGTGGATTACTAGACCTGAATGTTTCAACCGGCACATGTTTGTATGTACATACATATATATGCGCATTTGATCAAAATACTCCTATATCTTTCTCATTATCAAAAATTTTCATTATAACAACAGTATAAAGATGTTAAGAAACCATGCCAAAATGCAATACGTAAATGTAAAAGCAGAGTGATTGATTTTCAAGAATAAAATAAAAATAGTAATGCACGGTCCTGTCATCACAATTTTTTCACGATTGACTAATGATTCATTGAAAAGCAGGCATTCCGCCTGGAGTTAAATTAAGCAGTTTAATCAAATTGTTCGAAAAGCGATACCTCTTAAACTTTGACGAGCGATTTCATTTTTCTGTATTCGCCAAATAGCACCTCGATCTTGAAAAGGGTTTATTATTCCACGGGGCAATGATAATACGAAAGGAATATTTCTCGATAAAATCTGTTTAAATACCATGATAATTTTGCCAATTTCACCTTTCCTTCCCCGCTCACCTTTTTCACGATTTAATTAGTCTGATTATTAATCAGGTTTGTTTTGTTGATGTTGGATGAAACGACTCGTATAAAAAACCTCAATTCCCTTCTATTGAATTTGAAGAAAATACAAAGCATGTTTTTAATTTTACAAATCGGCTTCAAAGGCAGATTTATTCCAACTTTCCAGCCATTTTTTCTGTCGAGTTTAATCTTTTTTTCTATGAAAATGCTTCTTACGAAATAACAATTATATAAGATACAATTAACCCTGTTCCCTCTCGAATCTCCTCAGTAACCTTTATAATTGGCAAAACAAAGAGGACTTAAAACATTAAGGATGAAGATAAACCAGAGGTTTGACGTTTGTGCGCTAACGGATCATCTCCGGCAGTAGAAATTTCAGGCAATCCGCTTTAATCTGTAAAACTAGGGATGGGTGTTACTGCGTTATAACTTTTTCAACGTGTATTAAGTGCTCCAATTATAAGAAAATTGGAAACGTCATCTGCTATTACGCAAACTTAACATATATTGGCCTACTTCTTCGTTGGATGTATATAAGTATACGACAATATAACTTGCCTACCGCATCGGCATATACATTATTTTTAAATAAAAACCAACCAACTGGTTTTTGAACGGAAAATAACCAACTTTGGAAATGCATATTTTCTCAGCCTTTTAGGTCACGGACATTCTCTCTGGTCTCATTTTTAGACAGTTTTACGGTGAACAAGGATTTTAAATGTTTTTCTAGTTTAGTCATTCATATAAATTCAAAAATTCGGGAACATATTAATTTTTGCACTTTTTACGAAAACGGGTGGGGTCAGGAAATCTACCTTGGAGCGACAATCTGTAACAATCGATAGAAACTTTTAATAATTTTCCACTTGGTCACCTTCCAAATTCCCTGATTTTTCACGCGTTTTCTAATTATTTGTGATTTTTGCGCACAAAAACTCTTACTTGTTCAT